CGAACGAAAAATTTAACCAAAAATCGACTGGGAAATGCTCAATAATGTGGAAAAAGCAAAAAAAAAGACGTTTCTAGGAACGCCAAATTTAGATCTGCTCAACGAAATCGGCTCCTCTCCATCGAAAGCTGAACAGTGCTGCACATACAGCCACTCCAGATTTACGGCAGCAAAAATAAGAAGCCTAGAAAGCGAAAATATTTTCAAACTTCTACATACAAATCTGCATAAATTTGGAATACCATAAACCAGACAACGACGCCTCGCTGTGTTTGCGAATAGTAAAAACACACCAAATCGACTGCACAGAATATGACAAAACAGGAAATGGAATTACAGGTGGAGGAGAGGGGACGAAAAGCTTGACACTTTTTTTGCTCTAAGCAGGCTACTGCGCAAGAAAAAAAAGTCTGAGAACAATGGGGATGCCCAAAAAATTCGACGCTTGCAAAGAAATCCACTATAAGGGTGCAAAAATTTGCACAAAATGAGTAAAATTTACAGAAAAAGACATTAAAATCAATCGGAATGTGCTCAAACATATTAAAAGGCAGAAAAATTGGAGGAATACTGCAATACAGACCGACAAATCACAAAAGCGATTTTTCCAAAAAAAAAAAAAACGAACCAAAAGAATTCTGTTCATTAAAACCCAAACGGATGTCATCTTTCGAAAATCCCTGATACTTCTCTTTGTTTTCGGATTTCGCTTTTTTTCGCTCTGCTTTTAGCTGATCGTCATCCTGAATCAGCTCGATCAAAAGATGTGCTCGATGTCGCACTGCAAACAGAATCTCAGTGAGTTGGGTAAAACCTGGAAGAATTTAAACGTTCGTAAGGCTGCCCTCATAATTTTACCAATGAAGGTGATGCAGCAATGATAAGCAATAACTTTTTAGATAAGCTACCAGTTATTTTTTATGGCGATTTGAAATGGTTTTTTTTTTTCACGAATATAGCTACTCTCCAGTACTGCGTTACTGCAAGCGCTTGTCATTAGTACACTTTAATATAATTAAAGAGAAAAATTTAAAGAAAAAAGCTCATCAAGTGTGCTTTCATCCTCCAAAATTCAGGAGGAATGACCAAACTAACCATTCAGTCCTTGATCCTTTCCTTTTTCATCGATATATTTATAGGACTCGAGCGCACGCATTTCGAACAAATGATCACGTGCATTATTTATCACCCGTTCACTGCCATTTTTCAAAAGATAATGAAGCAAGGTCAGTGACTGGAAAAAGAATACGTGATTTTCAAAAAGCACAAACCGAATTTTTTTGCTTCGAAAGAGAAAGTTCTGGTTCGAATGAGGGGGAACTTTTGTCAGCTTTTGGCATGGCTCAAAGAATACTGTCATCAGTGTTTACAAACTCACCAGCTGTATCAGCCAGGAAAAAGTTCATCTCGCATAATTATTCTGAAGGCCGAAAGAAGACCAAAAAATTTCTGGATTTCTGAAATTCTGAAGACCAAAAAATCAGCAAGAAGACCTCATACACCGATGCTCCGGGCGCCGCTATGCCAATTGGAATTTGTATAAATTTAAAAAAAAAAAAATCACTGTGCAAGTGTGAATTTCTCTAGAAATTTTATAAAGTACAATGTAGGAAAAGAACAGAAAAAATCATATCATGATTTCACTGCATCCTTCATTTATTTAACTGAAATTTGTCGAGTTTTACATATTTAAATTCTGTGTAATCACTGACTGGCTAGGAAGTAACACCGAATAAAAAAGCCGGCAAAGATCAAAGAAACTTGGATCTATGCTGCCTAAAACTGGGTAGCTGCATATACCAAAAGAGTGTATACGAGGCTGGGGTATGCATGGAGCAAATGCCCCAAATGATTCTAGTAGGATACAATGAGCTATAGTGCGGTGGATAAGAAATCGCAATTCTAAGATTTTGAGAAGTTCGATTCCCTCCCAGGCCGGCAGTGAAGGCAGCCTACGACAGTGTGAAGTTTAGTGTCTTCATTATCCTGAAATATTCTCACACCTTATATACTCGTCTC